ATTATTTACAAACCGATTTTATTTTTAATAAATCTGTTGAACAGACGATAGAAGACCACATCCAAAACTATAAAAAAATATACAGGGTGCTATTAACAAAATTAAAGTTAGGGGTTGTAACTAAGGGATGCATATTTAGGGGATGATTTTTTTCTACGCCATATTAAAGTGTATTACAAATAGAATAGACCACTTTTTGTCCCATTCGAAAATCTCTATTCGTTTAAGAGATATAGCGTGGGTAAATTAGTCTGGGACACCCTGTATAGCATATCCATTTTATCAGGCCGAATTCAGACCAACACTTAATTGATTTATTATGGAAAGAAAAAAATTATTGTTGTAGTCATTTCCGAGAAACAGAGTGTGCTAACTTTACAATAACGTTAGCATAGCTATATCTTGGCAAAGAAAAGGGGTACAGAGCCCATCTTGACAGCATATTTTATAGATAATTAATTGCTCTTGATTGATATATTAACCAATCCTCAAAAATTACCCCATCCGTCCTAGAAATTTTACGCCAAGAAACAATATATTGCTGCAACTGATTATGAGAAACAATGGCTAGCTAACTTTATGGTAAAGCTAGTATTTATCTCGACAATGAAAAGAGTTATAGGGCCTATCTTGACGGCATATTTTATTGCTAAAAAATTGCTGTTGATTGGTATATAGACCAATCTCCAAAAACCACCTTCTCATCCACCTAGCGCAAAACTCATCCCTTTTGAGATCAGATCCCAAAACAGAGATCAATCCAAGAAATACTCAAAAACCTCCACGATTCGCAAGAAATCAATGATATCTCACGCATGGTATTAGTGTATTAACAAACTTAAGAAAGCATAATCACCAACACACCAGGTCGTAAAAGCATACTCAGGAATTGTTTGAAATAACTTCCACAAGTACCTACACCACAACTATCAAAAACCACGTCTTGAATAGCTTTAGATATGGTACCAGAAAGAAGCACAATCCATGACAAGAAAACATCGACACAGACAGAAGACAAGCACATATTGAAAACGAAAATTAAACCTGAATATAAAAAACTTCAAATTAAAATCTGTGAGTTTGACAGGGATGCATAATATCCCCTATTCTATTCAATATATATAGTGAACATATTATGCGTTAAGTTTTTGTGGAAAGGCGTGTGGAAAACGATAGGAGGTAGAAAAATAAAAAACCTACGTTACGCTGATGACACTGTTATATTGGCATCATCACCAGAAAAACTGAAAATTATGAATAGGCTAGACACGGTGAGTACGGAATATGGATTGAAAATAAATATGCAGAAAACCAAGTGATGATCATCGATAGAATCGATAGAACCAGGCAAAGATAAGAATCATGGCAGGTTATGAAGTGGTCAGGCAATTTAATTACTTAGGCTCCATTATTACTAACAGTGGAGGATGCGAAGACAAGATCCGTCGACGCATAACAATGGCCAGATCGGCAACGTCCAAATCCAAACTCACAAAAATTTGGAAGAACATTGACATCACAAAATTACGCCTTGTTCGCGCATTGATATTTCCTATCGCCACCTATGTTTCAGAAAATTGGACAATAAAAAAAAGCCGATTGAAAGCGTATAATGGCATTTGAAATTTGGGTCCACCGTAGAATGTTGCGCATACCATAAACCGCCCATCGCACAAATAACTCAATTCTAGCAGAACTTAACATAAAAACTAGACTCATCAAAATATACTGACATATTTTGGACATGGAAGTAGAAGAAGAGAAGACAAGATCTCCAGTGCGATGGTCGGACCAAATAAAGGACTTGGCTGGTTACTCATTCTCTGAAGCAAAACAAGTCAAATCCCGGATGAATGGTTAAAATCTATCTTTTTATCCTTACCCAAGAAAAATAATCCTAAATCTTGCGATGAGTACCGATTAATTAGCCTTATGAGCCACACTTTAAAAATACTACTCAAAGTTATTCAGCAGGGTATATATAACAAATATAAGGTAATATTAAGAACAATTAGACAATACACAGTTTGGATTTAGATGTGGAATGAGAACAAGAGAGGCACTGTGCGCAATGACGGTACTATTACAAAAATATAATAAAAACGTATTCATATGTTATATAGATTTCCAAAAAGCTTTTGATAGAGTCCAACATGGTAAACTCATACATGCATTGAAACACATACACCTAGATCCCAAGGATATTAATTTAATCAAAAATCTGTACTACAATCAAACAGCGGTCGTACGGGTGGAAGATAGTGAGACAAACCAAGTGGAAATTCAAAGAGGAGTCAGACAGGGATGTGTGCTGTCGCCACAATTATTTAATGTGTACTCCCAACTAATATTTCAGGAGGCACTATGGGAAAGAACTGAAGGTGTAAGGATTGGAGGGAGCATCATTAATAACATAAGATTTGCAGACGATACCGCAATCATGGCAGAGAATATAGACGATTTACAAACTCTCCTGGAAATCATTAACAGAGAAAGCAAAAAGATGGGACTAACAATGAATATAAATGAAACCAAATACATAATGATCTCAAAAAACCCTGTTGACAACATACAACTGACATTGGAGGGTAAACCCCTAGAGAGAGTCGACAAATATAAATACCTCGGAGCAATTATAAACTCACAGTTAGATCAAGAGCAGGAGATAAAGATCAGAATAGAAATAGCTCAAAAAGGCTTTATAAAATACAAGTCAATGTTTACAAATAAGAAATTGAGTATGGCCATCAGATTGAGGTTCGTCGAATGTTATGTTTGGTCGCAACTACTATATGGGGTAGAAGCTTGGACTCTGAAAGCCCAATCTATAAAAAAATTGGAGGCATTCGAAATGTGGCTATATAGGCGTATTTTGAAGATTTGTTGGACTGCAAAAGTCTCAAATGAGGAAGTGTTAAGACAAGTTGGACATGGTAGAAAGCTTATGAACACAATTAAAATAAGAAAAACATCGTATCTGGGCCACATACTCCGAAACGATAAATACTCTCTGCTACAAGTCATCATGCAAGGTAGAGTAGAGGGAAGAAAAGGCTTTGGAAGAAAGAAGAAATCTTGGCTGAGGAATATCAGAGATTGGACTAACCTCAGTGTTGAACAGATATTTCATGTTGCAAAAGATCGAGAAGCGTTTAAAGAAGTGATCGCCAACCTTCGTTAGAAGACGGCACAAGAAGAAAAACAACACGCACAGGAGAGAGATAATTGGACAGAAATAGTCAAACAAATTACATGACGCCACTACATCCTTACGAAGGAGAAAAGATTGAGGAGGATAAAAAAACGGCCAGTAACTAGAAGACTCAAAAAACTTGAATGAATTTAAAATTAAAAGCAAAGAAATTTGTATGAATAATGATTGTGACTGAATCAAAACACTAAATGGTTGACAAAAATAGATATTTAAAAATAATGGAACTGGTCAACTAAGACGGTATTTAGAGGCAAAAACGGTCAAAGAGAAGCGAATGAATGAAAAATGCGAGAAAGGGAACTAACAGCTAAACATGATCTCTTGAGCGTACATAAAAAAATAAAAGAGATAAGTGACATATTTGAAACAAAAGTTTCATCTGTACCACTTGACAATAACTACAAAATTATTAGTGATGAAGGAATATATATATATATATATATATATATATATATATATATATATATATATATATATATAAGAGGGTGGCAAATATATCAGAGCTGTTTAGCGATAAGAGTAATAATTAATTTACACCCTATCAATATTGTGTTGATGGTCCAGAAATCGTAAAATCAAAGACAGAGCAAGCAATAATACATGCAAAAATTAGAAAAGTTTTTGATCTTGATGAACGAGTTGTTAAAACTGGTAAATGGAAGAGGATAGTGTTAGTCAAACTTTTGAATGCAGTATAACCAAAGAATATAGACGCTTATTTAGGAAATCTCCCAGGAAAGCTTTAATAAGCGTCTATATTCTTTGGTATAACGCCAGGTCAGAGTGATTACACAGACTGGCTAAGATCTAGATTTTTCTTAATACCTAAATAACAGGAATGAAAAATATTTTCTGACATGGCACATAAAAAAGAAAATAATATGATCTGTGTTATGTACTATATTTATCTTCTATGTAATTACTTTTGACATAGGCAAGCAAACATTGTAAAATATTCTATCAATCCCAAGAATAATCTGAAAAGTAGGATTTATATTTTTTTAAACTTGACATCTGTCAAACTAGGATTTTTTAAAAACATATTAAATCAGTCAAACTCAGCTATAATAATTTGATTGCACTATTTTCAATTTTACATATTATTTAAAACAGGAAATAATTAATATAATATTTAAAAAATAAATCAATATCTTCCACACACTCGATTTTCTATTTCTTGGCATTTCATTCACACAAAAAATATAACTGAAAACAATACTGAGATCTTAAACATAAATTTCACAGATTTAGGTAGATGGATCTTTTGTATTTACAGTTTAAAAATTACCTCCAAAAGAATTTATGACCTTCCAAGTATTCCAGGTACTATTACGGTATTTTGTTAAAAATCTATTTACTTACCTAGCTATATGAATAGAATTACAGACAAATGTCTGCAGACTATTCTTTCAGGACAAAGACAAAATAAGTACAGTTAAAATTTTTAAAATAATGAAATAAAATGAGAAATATAAAAAATAAATAAAATTAATTGATAATAATGTAGCCCGACACACCCTTTCGGCAGATTAATTAGTATTTCGCAAAATATGTAAACTAATGCTCAAATATAATCAAAATCATGAATAAAACTGTGTAAAATAAAGAATGATATGTATCTGAAAAGCTGGAGGGATGTGAATAGATAATTCTATGAATAAATATGTTTGCCTTAAGGGCATATTGTGCACAATGGCCGACAGAGTTTAGTGTTGACAATGAATGGTTAGAAAGGATTTTTCATTTTAATATAGATGTTTACGTAAAGGGGTGTTAGATTACTTACCTCATATTTGACGCCAGCTAGTCTCAACCATGTTTCAACTTTCAAACAATAGGGCGAAAGGGATGGTAGCAGTGGTGTACGCGAAAACTGATATAAATAGACGACATCTTTTTCGAAATTTGATTTGTGTACCAATACTTTTGGAGGAGTTGGTTCTTTTTCTTTTGCTGAAGCAGGCGCGTCGCCGGCATTTTCTTGTTTACCGGCCTCCTCGGCTTTGTTGTCGCCGGACGGTATCTCCTCCTTAATTTCCTTTGTTTCGGGTGCGTTATTTTCAACTTCAGTTGCCATCGCTAGTTCTATTTCAAGTAATATAAACACTCAACAACACACGCGATAAGCACCACAACAAACAATGTACAACAAGATAAAACTAATACTCGACTAATCAAGGGACAAAAACCAAGTTTCCCTGCAATAGCTTTCAGCTCTCTAGAAGAATCGTCTCGTACAGCAATCTCCGGCCGGACGAACCGAATCAGTGACGTCAGTCTTCGGCTTGGAACGACGCGCAGGCAGATCGTTCGCCCCACCTGCGTTTCACTTCTTGTGCATATGCACCGAACCCCACCCTTATGCATTTTTCAATGTTGCCGACTGGGATTGGAATGTTCCATAAAAGGGATTTTCGTACGCAACAAGGCTTTCTATATGCAGTTATCCCTATATAATATTCATAATAATAATTATAGACCTGAAAACTTATGCTATTTAAAGTTCAGTATGAGGATATTTATTAAAAATTATTTAATAATCTTATTTATTTTGAAAACAAATGTTTTTTAAATTTAGTTATGCCCTGCCAATTCGCAATTCCATGTTTTTCTGAAAATGACGATATAGTGCATTGCAAATTCTAAGATATGGGAATTCCCAAAACTTTATGCAATCTATTTTTTAATATTTTAAAAGAATTAAAAATTATTTTAGATTAAAAATAGATAATGAAGAAATATATCATACTGGAAAAAACGAATATTATGCATTTTACGTTGTGATGGAAAGTCTAGTTGGGTAGAAGATGCTAAACTTTAGTAGTGTAAAGCTAAAGTTCGAAGGTATTAAATAAAGATATAGACTAACATTACGATATAGACAATAGTTTACTTTAAAATTGGTTGGAGACTCCATTATTGCCCAAATTGAAAGTTAGTGAAACTATGTGTATTGACTCCACAAGATAGACCGAAGACCAAAAAGAATAATCGAAAAAGTAGAAACACATATAGCACAGAAAGTGATGGAGTCGAAGAAAGCTGGGCACAAATTAGTCTCGGTCAAGGAAAGGTGAAAGAAATATAAATAAAAATAAATCGTTCCAAGGCGAAAAACCCATGGTTTTGTACAGAAGTGAAGGAAAAATGTAAAGAAAAGAAAAAAGCTTATCTGAAATACATGTCAATAAAAACACAAGAGGCATACCTACCATAATTAGAAGACAATTAGAAACGAAACACATGCACTTGTAAGAAAAATAAAAAATTATCACTGGGAACGCTTTTTTCGTTCAGGAACAATCACTCGACTGGGAAATTTTGGTTCTTAAATTGGGGCGCTCTAGAGATAGTACCTTTTGATTTTAAAACGGTCGCACCAAGTGCCACAGTGTTTTCAAACAACTTGTCTTCACAAGGCAGTCAACTTTAATTATGGCTCCACATGAACAAGCTAAAACTAAGGTAGGGTAACCAGATATGGCGAAAATTCGGGTAACGAGCAATAGCTCCGGGTAAGCCTAAGAGCACTGTTTTCCCCTAAGCTTAAGAAATTCGCCCTAAAGATAGATGAACTAACGAAATGGTCAACAGCATACGGAAACGAAGACAGAACAAGAAGCCACTGTCTCAAAGGTCCCTAACGACATTCTTAGGCAATAAATACGTAAAATACGACTGAGACATTGACCCTTAGCCCGCGGCAGACCTTCAACCCAGAATGATCAAGGGGTGCTAAGAGTAGCAACAAAGAGAGCTACAGCCTACCTGAAAGAGTCAATAAAACTAATAAAAGTTGATTCATGGCCACTTGGAACATAAATTTTCCATGTTGGAATGTTCGAAGCCGGAAAAATTCATAATAGAATCCAAGAGATGTAAAAACTCGACATTGGCGTCATCGGAATAAGCGAAATGAGATGGCCGACTCGGGAAAGATTATGATAGGAAACAAAACTGTATATTATTTAAAAAGCTCTTATTTATGAGCGTCTTAATGAGCATCTAAGGGCGGACAAGTTTCTTAGTCATTACTCCTTTTAAGGAATAGCTGCTCCCTTTTTTAAAGGGAGTAGGAAGTGTGGGTGGGAGTGATGTTAGTTTTTTTATGACTGGCTTGAGTTGATAGGAAGAAGAGGAAGAGAAAATAGGAAGGTATAGGTTTTCCGAGACGAAGATAAAGTTTTCTCAGGACATAAAATTTGGGAACGGCTCTTGGAGCACTGTTCCGTTTTTCGTTTCTCTTTGGCTTCTCTTATATTCCTTCTGACGATGGTATGTATTCTCATATATTCTTGGAGATTTTCTTTGTTTTTTTCTCTGATCCATAAGTTCAAGTATTTCATCTATCAGCCACGATTTCCGTTTCTATGATGTTGTCTTTCTTCAGGTCTTTCTTGTATGATGGTCAGACTTTCCTCTATAGTTCCTGCATTTTTGCATTTTAGCACCTTTGTATTAAGGTTTTCACCCACCTTCAGTCGAATATTGGGGTCTTTCAGTTTTTTAACATCATACTTCTTCATCGACTTATTTGTAACCTTCTTCATTCTGACTTTTGAAATTGCCTACAACTAGTACATGATCAGAATTTAGGTCTGCCCCGGGTATGTTTTGACAGATGTACAGCTGTTCATATACCTCTTATTTACTAACATGTAATCAATATGATTTCTTACAATCCTTACCACAGAATCCTGGTGATATTCCTTTGTTATTGATGATCACTTTTTTTTGGTCTGCTGGTGCATATAAAATCATATTTTTTATTATAAAACAGTTTTATTATATTAATTACAAAACGAATATTTTAAATCTCACTTAATAAACTTGTTTTTCATTAGGATAGTTTTACTTTCTAACAATAAAATCAGTTTCTTGCAAATTTTAACGTCAGCATGAATGATATCTGCCTCCATGTGGGTGTACCCAGGTTCCATAAATTTGTAGCGAGTTTCCTTTACATTCCGACGCGTTTTTTTTCATTTCATGAATTACGAAACAGAAAATACTACACATCAAAATGTTTCCGTCCATCCGTAAGGCGTTCTTTATGTCCAGCCCATTTCCATTTCCAGTCTTTGAGACTTTGAGGTATATTTTTATTTTTAAGTACGTATGAGAGTCTTCTAATGCTGCCCATCCCATTTTTATACGTCTGCTTATTTCTGTAGTCTGATTTTCTTTGTTTAACTTGACATTTTGACCCTGATATGTATATTCATCAACGTGTTCTATCTCTGTCCCTTCAATGTTTATCATAGGTTTGTCATCTTTGTTTGAGATTATAGTTCATTCGTTCAGCAAATTCCCAACTATCAACATAAGCATGTGTTGATATTCGCCTTCCCATTCGTCAAGAGACTATTAAATATAATTTGTTGCCTTAAGCCAGACGGATTCTCATGTTACAGATCCAATCTTGCCAGTCTATTTAAATTCAAATTGTATCGTGTTGGTTTTTAAGTTAATATGTTGTGTGCTATATTTATATTATAGTTATTGTTAAGTTATTTACTGGTTGTGTTATTTTTTAGAGTTTAATTTAGTTGTGATTTAATGATTAAATATCAAGAAATTATTGCGCTAATAGTTTCAAAAGTAAAACTTTTATCAAGAACCATATGATACACATCAGTACGAACCTGTTTGGCTTTCACGTACGTATGTTGACTATTGGGAATATGTAAAATGAATATAGTTTAGTTTAGTTTTGATGAAATTCATTTTCAGTCCTTTTTTAGGGATTCTGTGTGTAACTCCTCAATCATCGTATTCAGTGCGTTTCACGTGTAGGCTATTAGTACTACATCATCTGCGTATCTAAGATGGTTCAAGTATCTTCCGTTAATAGGGATTCTCTTATTTTCCCAGTCTATTGACTTAAAGATATCTTTTAGCGCAGCTGTAAATAATTTTGGACATATTGTGTCTCCTAGTCTTACTCCTCGGTTGATTTTTACTGGTCTTGTTTCGATTCCATTACCCAACGTCACTATCATTTCAGCTTGTTCGTAAATATTATGTATTAATATTCTGTACCTGGAGTCGATCCGGTTGTTGACTAATGCTTCTTCTTTTGCCCACAGTTCTACGCTATCAAAAGCTATTTCATAATCTATAAAAGCCAGAAATATTGGGAGATTGTATTCGTTAGTCTTTTTTATTAGAATGTTTAAAGTATATAGATGATCACAGGTGCTGTCATCATCATCATCATCATTAGCCATTTTGCGTCCACTGCTGAACATAGGCCTCCCGTAAATAATTCCATTGCATCCGATCTTGAGCAACTTGAATCTAGTTAGACTGGATGCGCTTTAAATCGTCCGACCACCTTGTTGGAGGACGTCCTCGACTACGATAAGCATCGTGTCTAGGCCTCCACTCTAAAATTTTCTTTGTCCATCTTCCATCTCTGACCCTAGCAACATGTCCTGCCCAGTTCCATTTCAGGGTTGTAATTCTTTCAACTGCGTCCGTCACACCAGTTTTTCTCCTTACTATCTGACTCGAAACTCTGTCCCTGAGTGATACGCCCAACATTGACCTCTCCATCGCTCTCTGTGCCACTTGTATCTTATTAATTACTTTTCTGGTAAGTGTCAATGTTTCTGCTCCATATGTCAGAACAGGAAGTACACACTGATCAAAAACTTTTCTCTTCAAGCACATGGGAATAGCTGATTTAAAGACTTCCCTCAGTTTTCCGTAAGCTGCCCATGCCAGTCCTATTCTCCTTTTTAACTCTGTTGTTTGATTGTCTCTTCCAATTTAATCTCGTGGCCCAGATACTTATAGGAATACACTTGTTCAATTTGCGTGCCATTAGTGGAAATGTTTTTTGCCAGTACCAGGTTGGTCATGTATTGTGTTTTGGAAAAATTAATTTTAAGGCCAACTCGTGCACAAGAGCTCTGAAGGTCTTGAAGAAGTTGGCATGCATGATCTACCTGATCTTCAATAAGGACTATGTCGTCTGCAAACCTCAAGTTGTTCAAAAATTCCCCATTTATATTTAATCCAATATTTTCCCAACACTTTTACAGGTGCTGTACACTTTTCTAAATCCAGCTTGTTCTATTGGTTGATATCCATCAAATTTAATTGAACCTGTTTGTAATAATCTTTGTAAAGATTTTTGTGTATTGGTATTGTTTTAGCAGTATTCCATTGTTCAGGTATGTTGTCTTGGAATAGACATTTATTAAATAGTATTTTTAGATATCTGATGGTTTCTATAATAGGATTCCATCGCTTCCAG